ACTTCAACATACACCAGAAACTGACTAGTCCACTCCAACAAAACTTATGTTAACGGCAGATATTGCAGAGACTTCTCCATCGTCCATAAGCTACCCAGATCATTGGATAACCTATTTGGGTCCCGGACACGAGAGGACATCAGACGAACCTCCTCGACTTCTTCCTTACTTCCTGCCCTGATAAAGGTGTATTTAAAAGTTTTACTCTACTAGGCACGTCAGACCATTCCCTAATCAGTGTCCAGAATGATTCCAAACTTAAGGCATGTACCGTTCCATAGAACCATTTTTCAAATTGGGACAGCTTTCGATCCTATATGATGGAAGCCCCCCCTCCCAATCTTCTTCAAGCATGCGGCCTCAAAACCTGCTGCCTTTGTTACTGATTGGATCCTTTCACCAAAAGTTCCAGAAAAAAAACAGTCAACCCTAGTTCAACCCCGAATGCGCTTCAGCCATAATTCACCGAAACCACTACTTCAATATCATTTGCAAGGAGGTAAGTAGTTCGGCCCTCACTGTACACAGAACTGCCTGAAATCGCTGCAAAAACGTTCTAGAAAACACCAAGTGCATCTATGCACGAGCAGTTCAGACCAAGGTTGAAAAGAAACAAAATGGATCCCGTGAATTCTGGAAGATCACCAACCAAATGATGAACAAAGGTAAAGCAGCTGTGACCATCGCTCTGAAGTCATATCTTCCTCGATAGACAAGGCGAGCCTCTTTGCTTCCATCTTTGCCTCTAACTCAACGTTAGATAGCAAAATCATTCGCTCCCCAAATTTCCACGTCTCACTGAGCACAACCTCACCATCACAGCACGAGAATATATAGTCTCATCAAAGGCCTTGACACTGAGAAAGCCACTGGACCAGACAAAATTCCAGTGGTTGTCCTTGAGAACATCAACCCGGAATTATCCCGAATACAAGCAAAATTATTCAACTGCTGTTTGAAGGAGAAATTCTCCCCAAGCCTATTGAATGTGTCAAGTGTATGTCCAGTTTTCAAGAACGCGATCTTCCCCTTTACTAGTACAGACCCCTCAGTCTCCTCAATATCATCCGCAAACTTTTTGAGGCCATAATCAATAAGAAGGTCGTTGAGCACCTAGAATAGAAAGATCTCTTCAGCGACGAGTAGTATGGGTTTCGGTTGGCCCGATCTACTGACCATGTCCTAAGTACCATCACTCACAGAATCAGTGAAGCTCTTGACGACAAACACACTTCGAGGACCATAGCACTAGATGTATCAAAGGCCTTCGACAGGGTGCGGCACAAAGGTTTACTATACAAGTTCTCCAGTTAAGGAATCACCGAAATAACACTTCTTAACAGGTAGGTCCCTGAAGTACGTATCAAGGGCCAGTCCTCGGGGGATCTAGCGGTCAACGTAGGCGTCCCCCAGGGGTCACTCCACGGACCAACCTTTTTTTGATCTACATAAATGATCTGCCTGAGAATATACTCAGATCTTTTGTAAACATCTCTGCCGATGATAGGACAACATCTAAAACTCTCGATAGTCAGAGATTGGCGACTGATCTCTCTTCCAATCTTGAACAAACTACACAATGGGGTAAAAACTGGCTGGTTACATTCAATGCCTCGAAGACCAAGCTAGCTTCATTCCATTATCCCCGATTTGACCTCGAACTACCACCAATCAGGATGAACGGGGGTGCTCTCGAGGAAGCTCCATGTCTTGAGTGACTCTGGGGCCTCAAACCCACACCGGACCTCAAATGGAACTCGTATATTGTTAAGGATGCAGATAAAATGGTCAGCTCTCTGTACCGTTCAAGTAAGTATCTGACTCTTGGTATCCTCTACCTTTACAAGAGCCAGATCAAGCCAAAAATGAAGTACTCTTGTTATATTTGGGCGGGAGCAGTTTTTTCCCGCGAACAACTGCCCTGTGGAACCGATTCCCAACTGAGTGTTTCCCTGATCAGTACAATCTTAACCTGTTCAAGGCTAGGGTTAACTGTTATCTTCTACTCCTATACACACAAATGGCCTCCAAACGTAACCCTCTACCTCGAGTGGCCCCGGGCCTTGTAAAAAGTGGACCTTGCTGTAAAAAAATAAAATAACGTAAGCTCCTTTTTATTTATTTTTAATTATATAATTCTAAAAATTCAAGAAAATATTCTCCCTAATCTAATATTTTCTTGAATGTTAGGTACTTTCGTTTTAAATTTATTATAGTTACTGCTCTTATTTTCTGAAAATTTCGTGTATTTCATCCGTATTTATAGAAATAAACACAAAACATTCAATATACTTTTTAAAATACTGGAAGTCGCTGAATTGTAGCAAGCGTTACCGTTTATGATTAGTAAATATACTTTTTACTTGATAACAATATAACCTATCCAAATTAATACAGAATTTTTATAAGATTTGAAACTTTATACATTATTATAATTAATTTAAAAAAAAATGAAAAAAAAATTCTTGTAAAAATTCCTTATTCGGCGTAAAAAATAGTGTCCATAATATAGCATATTCATAAAAGCAATTAAAAGCTTTTCTAATTAAATAATATCTTAGTTTTAATGCATTTATTATTTCAAAATTCAGAGCATATTTTCGGTAACTGAGGGACCTGTTTTGCAAAGAGAAATTGATTTAAATTCTCCAAGCACATTTGGTTAGACTTTGGTTGGTGGCACAAAAATTTCTCGAAATTTCGTAAAATTAAATAAGTGTATGATAGAGGATGTAAAAAAAATAACATTTTTTTATCAAGCTTGTCTAAAAAAAAAAAAAAAAGAAACATCTCAAATATAATTTTATTCAGATGTGAATACGTTCTGGAAGTTTCATTGAAATCTGACAATTATTTGATTTTTGTAAGAATTTCCAAATCACTCAGTTTGCACTGCAAAAAGAGGCTAAAATTTCCTGTTAATTTATGGTCACCCGCTTACGCAAGAGAAACGGAATTTTTAATAAAAATTTTGTAGCTTCTAAAATGGATTAGAAATTTATAATTTAATAATAAAAAAAACAACCTTTGGCCTTTCCTTTTATACATACAGAGTTGACGATAAAATGTTTTATTGAATTTGGGTTTTTTTTTCATCATGACTTGCTCTTTTTTTAGCGGATCTTTGAAGGTATTATTGAAGGTACTTTGAATATATATATATATATATATATATATATATAGTTGGATTGATGTGAGATTGTGACCCTGGGTTTCACGCTATTTGCGATCGTCAGACGATCGCAAAAGCGTGAAACCCAGGGTCACAAACTTACATCAGTCCAACTAAATATGTTAACTCTATGACTAATATTGAGCGCTTTCCAATAAGTACCGCGCATATATAATATATAAATAATATATATAATAAATTGTATATATATATATATATATATATATATATATATATATATATATATATATATATATATACATTTCATACACACACACACACACACACACACACACACACACACACACACATATATATATATATATATCTATATATATATATATATATATATATTCATACATGCACATTTCTCGCACACACACACAGATATATATATATATATATATATATATATATATATATATTCATACATGCACATTTCTCGCACACACACACACACACACACACACATATATATATAAAAGGATGTGTGTGTTTGAGCGTGTGCATGTATGAGTGTATTCGGTGCATCAAAAATGATTTAAACATGTAAGTACATTTACAATCGCCTTGTACTTCAAGAATTATTATTTCCTGTATTATTTACTTTGTCTTCAATGCAGAATCTAAGAGAAAAAGAAGAAAAACAAAAGGAATTTCAATAGAACTAAAGAACTTTAATGTTTTTAAATCATCTTAAATGGAAAAAAAAAACAAAAGAAAGTGGGTTCTCTTCTGTCCAAAAAGCAAAGAAAACAAATGCGATTTACATGTGGCGTGTCGTCATCATTACTTTGATCTTCAACACATTCTACGTCGAACTCTGGCAGAATATTTTCTAGATTTGGTTTGATCTCATCGGTGCTGAATATTTCATTGGCATCCTTTTCAATTTCCTTAATATCTAGAGGAGGAGGGAATTATTGATGTAGTCACTCTGTTTTTGTTGGGGGTTGTAGCTTAAGCCATACAATGTCAGAAGTGAAGTTGCTTACAGTTTAATCAAATTTGAGCAAAGTTGCTTTTTATAAAATCAATTCTCCCCAAGCAAGCCAATAAATCCACCAAAAACGCAAGAGAATATGAAGAAAAACTACTAATAAAGAGAGAAGCAACAATAAAAGAACAAGAATTAAGAAGACAGAAGATAACAATTGACATTGCACTTAAATTTTTGAAGATCAATGTTAACAAAAAATAAAAAATAAAAAAAAAGAAGCCGGAAGTGACTTCCACAAGTGAGAAGTGTGATAGAAGGAACTGTTAGCATAGAACTTACGGTTGCATCTAGTCATTTGAACTGTCAAATTATAAGGCCTTGTCGCTGATCTAGTACTGCGCTTAAATTCATAAAGTCTAAGTACCATAGAGGAAATTAATATTTATTTTATAAATAAAAAAATAAATAATAAAGGCCAAAGGGGGATGGGGGATGGGGGAAAGCTGGTCTTCAATCTGTTTTATCTTAAACTTAGGTATCCACAACTACTGATCCAAACATACTACAGTATTCCTTAGAATAAAACAACACATTCTTACTTACCATTCTTACTACAGCCACCATAATACCTCATAGTCTCTATGTTCTCATATGTACAATTAGTCTGGGGGTAGGTAATGAATTTGACCGTAGTGGAAAGTTCATCAGAACAATTACCATGAAAGTATTCATACGAAAGTCACATGGAAGGCATGTTACGGCGGTGGGAAAGTGACTGAAGCCGAGATGCCAGGTCAGAATCAATAACATTGCAGATTATTTTTTTGGATTTTAATAAGAATCTCTAAATATATACCAGGAGCACCGGACCATATGTGGCAGCAATATTCAAAGCATGGACGCATATTAGACTTGTAAATATGTAAGACGGTTTCTGGTTTATAGACAAACTGCTTACCTAAAAAAAAAAAAAAAAAAAAAAAAAAAAATCCTGCACAAGGGCACAAACGTGCAGTATCAAGACTGAATTTTGATTATTGAAAAGTGTATACGCAGACTCCGTTTCAACAGATGAAATGTCGCAAGCCCCTCGCTAATCTATCGTTATTTCTATCAAACATGTTCTAGCAGACGTCAATCCTTACTTCCACTAGTTCAGACCTTCACAGCTAAAACCCATACACTGAGACGAATCATCTCCATTCTCCAAGAATCGCTACTTTGTGGAACATACTCCCGTGGGGATGTTTCCATGATCTAGGCAACATTAAGTTCTTCGGATCTAGGGTTAACCGATATTTTTTCGATATATCATAAACTGCAGTTATTAACTCTTCCTTTTGCATTCAAACAACAGCTACATTCAATCATCCTCTACTTTGAGTTGTTCTTGAGCCTTGTATTAGGTGAAAATTATTTTAAAAATTGTGTTGCGAAATAAGCTTATTAACTATTACTTTTGTCTGCATTTACATTTCTATTGATATGACCTTGGCTGGGGTCAATACCCTTTAATCAGAAAATGGTAAAATATATACAGGATGACAGTAGATTAACGGTTTTAATCCCTTGCCTAATTCATGATAACGATTCGGGGATGATAAACACTCCAATTATTTTACTAAGCCTTTTCATATATATCTTCCCATGTCTGTATGAACGTTTCTTTTTTTCTTAAGTGAGTCATAGTAAATCAAGTGTTGTTGGCCCGTTTAGGTTTTGGCATAAAAGGGCCCACCATTAACATTAAGTCCTACCAGTATCTATTATTGGCGGGAACAATCTTAACAACATAAAATAAGTAGATGATACAGTGTATTTTTTTTTATTATTTCACCCCAAGCAAGGCGATAGTACCACTAAGAAGCAATGTGTTATTAGGAATGAAAGACAACGAAAAGTGAATAGAAAGGACAATAAAAGAACAGTTTTTAAACACAAGAAGACAATTAAACACTGACCAATGGTCCATTCCGTAATTTCATGAACACGTTTTCCTAACATTTCACTATTTTATTTTTATAAAACTGAATTAGTGATTTATTAAGCATAGCTTAGATTTGGCCCAAGGTCGAAAGTACGGAGCACCTCATTAGTCAGTCATAACTGATCTAGCGAAACAAGCTTGCTAACAATTATGCCCCACGTCAAATTGTCCAATAGTGATTTATTAAACGTAGAATGGATTTGACTCAAGATCGAAAGCACGAAACACCGAGTAAGGATCGGACTCACTACACAATTGTAATTGATCTAGCGGAACAAGCTTGTTAACCATTGCAACACGTCGAAGTGCCCAATTCAATCACTGAATAATTACCCTAACAATAAATAAATGTATTTGGCCCCAAGGGGAGTCTTTGAAGGATCTAAGGCTACTGCCAACAAATCACCCCAAGCAAGGCGATGATGCCACTAAGACGCAATGCATCAGTGGGAGTGAAAGAGAACGAAAAGACTTTAGTGAGTAGAAAGGACAATAAAAGGACAGTAATTAAACATAAGAAAACAAGTAATTAAACACTGGACGATGGTCCTTTCCGTAATTTTATGAACATATTTTCCTACCATCTCAATATTTCCGAAGGCTTATAAAACTAAATTCAATCGGTGAAAAGTGATTTACTAAGCTCATTTTGTGAATAATTACAATTAATTAGCAATAAATAAATGTATTTTGTCTTTAGGTAATTCTTTGTCGTGATATAAGGCGAATGCCGTCAAATCACCCAAAGCAAGGCGATAATGCCACTAAGACGCAATATGTTACTAGGAGTGAAAAAATAACTTTAGTGAAGAGAAAGAACAATAAAAAACGGGGTTCAGGAAGTCATGAAATGGCGACAAGGCATTGTATTTAAATTTTTGAAGATTGTAGGTGACAGGTAATCAAGAAACAGGAAGAGGTCCCTAAAGGCGAGCAGAACGAGAAAAGAAGAAACTGCTAGATTAAAGCTTATGATTGCATCTTGCTCGTCGTTGTCGTCATCGGCGACGACGGCGGCTTTATCTCTTATCCAAGAATTTGATTTCTTCTTTTTGATCGTTTCCTTTATGATGATGGCGTTGATAACTAAATTCGCAGCCAACGCACAGGTTCAGAAATATAAGCTCCCAGTTTCACCAAAATCTGCTCCCGCCATCCATTTCCTATCGCCGAGTAGAAGAATGTGCCGATGGCGTTAATGTGTTTACGGTGAACAACTTGCCAGGAAGTGACCCACACACTTGATCTCATGACCTTTCTCTGCGGTACGTATGGAATGAGAAATGCAGAATCAAGTTATGAAGCTACAACAGACTGCCGCTGGCTCTGTTATAATTTCGAGTGGCGCCTTCTGTAGCATGTCTTTCATGCGTAGCCTTCATCATCTGCTGGTTCAACCGTTGAGATACCGTTCAACAGTAAAAAAGGGAGACCTAGTTGCCAATCTATTAGTACGCTTAAATTCATGCAATGGAGGTACCAAGGAGAAAATCTCATCAGAACAGATATCAAACACAGGAAGATAATTGTAGGAAAACCCACAGGAGGCGGTAAAGGAAAGCGAGAATGAAGGACTACGCATCAATTGTAAGAAGACAGAATGCATGCTTGTCAGGAAGAGAAAAATCCTAAGATGCGAGCTACGAATTGGAGATACCAAAATCAAGTACGAAAATTTAAATATCTGGGAAGTGTTTTAACGGAAGACCTTAAAATATGCCACAGAAAAACAGTCTAGCAAAAGAGCCTTCTAGAAGTTAAGCAAAGAAACAGGAAAAATTTCGTTAGAAACAAAGACAAGTTGCTGGGTTGTTACGTAATATATATGGCAATGAATGCTGGAGAATATTTATAAACCAATAGACGGACAGGAAGCCAGACGGAAAGAAAGAAAGAAAGAAAGAAAGAAAGAAAGAAAGAAAGAAAGAAAGAAAGGAAAATGTGGACAAACAAAGAGAGAATAATAGAAATACAGGCAGATAAACCAATCGACAGACAGGAGGATAGAGAGAGAGAGAGAGAGAGAGAGAGAGAGAGAGAGAGAGAGAGAGAGAGAGAGAGAGAGAAACCGATACATAGACAACAGAAAGAAAGAAAGGAAGAATGTCGGCAAGCAGAAAGAAGTAATAATAATAGTCCTGACAGACAAATAGCGAGACAGACAGACAGAAAGAAAAGAAGAAAGGAAGAAATACAGACAGATAAACCGATAGACATAAAGAAAGAAGGAAAGAAAAATGTGGACAAAAAAAAAAGAAAAAAAAAAGAATATTAGATATACAGACAGATAAACCAATGGACAGACAGGAATCCAGTCAGAAAGAAAGAAAGAAAGAAAGAAAGAAAGAAAGAAAGAAAGAAAGAAAGAAAGAAAGAAAGGAAAATGTGGACAAACAAAGAGAGAATAATAGAAATACAGGCAGATAAACCAATCGACAGACAGGAGGATAGAGAGAGAGAGAGAGAGAGAGAGAGAGAGAGAGAGAGAGAGAGAGAGAAACCGATACATAGACAACAGAAAGAAAGAAAGGAAGAATGTCGGCAAGCAGAAAGAAGTAATAATAATAGTCCTGACAGACAAATAGCGAGACAGACAGACAGAAAGAAAAGAAGAAAGGAAGAAATACAGACAGATAAACCGATAGACATAAAGAAAGAAGGAAAGAAAAATGTGGACAAAAAAAAAAAAAAAAAAAAGAATATTAGATATACAGACAGATAAACCAATGGACAGACAGGAATCCAGTCAGAAAGAAAGAAAGAAAGAAAGAAAGAAAGAAAGAAAGAAAGAAAGAAAGAAAGAAAAGTAACGAGAACGGTAATGTAAATAATGAAACGCCAGATCTTTTTTGTTTTTCTATTTGTTTATTATTAATTCTTTCTAGTCAATTCTTCGCTAGCACATGTTCCAGAACGATTTAATTAAGGATCATAATTGTTAATTATGGCCTTGTTGAATTTCGATTACCAATATTATTCCACGCAGGCCCATTTGAGACGTTTAACGAGCCTCTGAGGAATATGTCTTTAGGATTTTTTGTTTCTCCCTCTTACGCGTTCTTGTAAATTAGCAACATTATAATCTTCATTAGCAGAAACAATTCCGAAAAAGCAATAGGCTATATTACCTATTATATAATTTGATTGTAGTTTTTTTATTAAGGATCACTGCAAAAAAAAAAAAAAAAAAAACGTCGAAATGATTTTGGATTGTTATATAATGCAAAAATCGGCTGCAATATTTCAGGAAAATAAGTTTGTTTATTTCGCGTATAATTCTGTTTTCTCGATGACAATCACCGGAGAGGAGGAATAAAACACGCGATGTGCCACGTCTCTTCATGAACGTTACGTCCTGAAGAAGAAAAAGAAGAAGAAGAAGAAGAAGAAGAAGAAGAAGAAGAAAGAAGAAGAAGAAGAAGAAGGAGGAGGAGGAGGGGGGGAAGAGGATGAGAAAAAGAAAGAGGAAGAGACAAAGCAAAAGAAAAAGGAGGGGAAGGAGCAGAAAAAGAAAGGGGAAGGGAAAAGAAAGAAGAAGAAGGAGGAGGAGGAGGAGGAGGAAGCGACAAATAAAGAGAAAAAGAAGGATGAGGAGGAAAAAAGAAAGAGGAGAAGAGAAAGGAGAAGAAGCAGATAAAGAAAGACGAGGAGAAAGAGAAAAAGAAAGAGGAAGAAGGAGGAGGAGGAGGGGAAAAAGAAAGAGGAAGAAGGAGGAGAAAAAGAATGTAGAAGGGAAAGAAAAAAGAGGAGGAGGAGGAAGTGAAAAATGAAGAGGAGAAAAAGGAGGAGGAGGAGGAGGGAAAAAGAAAGTGAAGAAGAAGAAGAAGAAAGAGGAGAAGACGGAGGAGAAGGATGAGAAAGATGAGAAGAAGAACAAGGAGTAAGCGAGGATGGTGGTCATAAAACACAAGTCCTCAAAGCTCGGATACTTAGAATTAATAACAAAGAGAAAAATAAAACTCTATTGCCATCTCAGTTACTTCCGATTTCAGGATGTGCGGATGGTGTAACAGAAAATGAGATCAGCTAACCGAGTTCGAATTCCGACCGAATTCGTTACATTCACTTTCGCAGAAATGTCCTTGAAAAAATGTGAATCCGTATCTTCTCTCCCTAGCTATGGGTTAAATAAGAGCGTTGACTGAAATCTTCCCCTGAGGTGGCAACCATTCTCGGAAAAGGAAGACACTCCTCTACTGCTGCTGTTGCTGCAGGATATATGATGCCCCCTCCCTCTGATTCTAATAGGTTTACGAGTTTCGTGACGTCACTTCACATTCCCGTTGAAAAGATCACTCCAACCATCTTTCTCTCCGTCTTAAACTACATACAAGGGTGGATCAATAAGTTTGTAGCCTATCAGCTAACTTTTCACTCCTGCATAATGTTATATGGGTGTGATTTATATAACCGGAACAAATGCACTGAGAAGGAAGGATTTCGGACGAGGTACGATTGTTGAACTACGTTATAAAGGGGCTATCACAACGCGCAATAACGGATCAAATTAATGGAAGTCAGATAGATGTGTGCGTGTATGATCCAAAAAGATATGGGCCTAAGACGAGAGATAGTAGAACCCAGATGATGCTCAATCGGAACGAGAGGTTAGTTATCAGAACATGCCAACAATGCCGTAATCTGTTCAAATTCACAAAGAGATAAGCAGGCGAACATTTCCGAAATCTGAAATTCGGCAATGGAAAAGAGTTCAACGTCCATCTTTGGAAATGTCCCACAAACAATAAACTGGAAATTGAAAAACTTCATCAGGCACCAATATTAGAATAATACATTGGTAATGTTCGCTTGCATTTAAATTTTTTTTTTATAATTTGTCGAGCAATGTCACTAACACATACGGAGTCTGACTGTCTGTCAATCTTACTTTATCTATCTATCAATCTATCTAGCTATATGTGTGTGAGGGCATATATCAACAACCAGGTCATGGCTAAAATGCAAGCATCAGGCCATGGCTAAGCATGAAACAGGCGACCGCCTCTGGGTGTTGAGCTCAATGTACACTTTTATATTTACATATGCTCTATCCATGATATTGAGCACTTTAACTCATAAATATAGCATATGTAAAAAGTATATTTTTGTCATATATATATATATATTATATATATATATATATATATATATATATATATTACACTAGGCAATTATCAGTTATGGAAATAAGATTTTATGCCTGTTGATTGCCTAGTGCATGGAACACCGAGTCGTACTGTCGGCGTGGGGTATATATATATATATATATATATATATATATAACATTAGGCAACATATAATTTATATACAAAGAAATAATCACACATAGAATCAATCAGCAATATTAATGCTATTATTGGCGACATCCATTGCTAGTAGTGTATAATGTATGCATTAAAATACTGTTAATCCATAGAGTGACGTGATCCTCATTTATAAAACTGTTGTTTCTAGTTTATTTTTTTTTAAATCCAAGTACTTTCGAATAATCCTTTATTCATCGTCAGGCATATCTTTTCCTTATAAAAACAAAAACTTGGAGACGAAATAATTGTTTGTAGACCGAAAGATGTTTTTTTTTACTATGTGCTATTATTGACGGTTGTGTACAATCTCGGAACGTGCAAAGACGCAACGCTAAGTTTTTCAAAATTTTAAGTGAGAATTTAATTTGAACTTTTCTTGTGATGTGGTAAATCCACGTATTCTATTTTTACAAGTGTTTTGAGTTAATATGTCGTGAACTAAGTATATAGTTCAATTAATATAGTGTTATGTCTTAGTAGTAGTTTTTTTTATAGGAATTTTTTTGTACTGCGGATCGATAGTTTTTATAAACATAAAACATTAGGCAGCATATAATTTATATACAAAGAAATAATAAATTTAAAAAAATCTAAACTGGAAACAAAAGACAACAGTTTTATAAATGAGGACCACATCACTCTATGGATTAACAGTATTTTAATGCATACATTATACACTACTAGCGATGGATGTCGCCAGTAATAGCATTAATATTGCTGATTGATTCTATGCGTGATTATTTCTTTGTATATATATATATATATATATATATATATATATATGCACACATGCATAAACGTACATATGCCTTCACAAGTAGGAAGGAAAGACAGATTTTAATGGAATATATAATATTTCTCCTGGGCACTTGAACCTGGTGTAATAGTTAGCAAGCTTGTTTCTCAAGATCAATTTCAATTGAGTAGAGAGATGAATCTTCGCTTGGTAAAAAGCTATAACATTTTACCGGTGCTGTCTTTTTTTAAGTACAGTTTATCAGTTCGAGACCTACGTCAGGGTTTTAAACACTTTAAATTCGAATATCTCTATTTTGAAGTCGATGTATCAACTTCTTCGTTGTTCGACTGTTCGTAGTGATCAACACTTCTATATCGAGAACTATGAAAATATACCGGTTGTATGATGGGGATGAAAAGAACTTTTTTTTTTTTTTAAAGCCAGATTGTATTTTAGAAATGTCTGTTAGATTATTTCTTCCGTTGACTTCAAAAACTGGCGAAAACTTTCCTGGTGGCTATCGATGGTCCTTCTTTTGCTTATCACCCGGTTTACTCTCCTTCTTTGTCTTTGAACAGGTGTAGAGGTTTATCCCTTGTTTCCTGTTTAGGATTGAATACCCAGTTCCATCTCCTAAAGTCTGCTCATTCTCTTTCACTCCCAATAACCCCTTGGGACTTAGTGGTATTAACACTTTGTTTTGGATGAAATGATAAAACCCCCCACCCCCAAAAAATAGAAAAAGAAAACGAAAACGGTTTGATATAAGATTAACCGCTCCCTTTTTTTTCCTGTGGTCAGGGAGATTTTGTAACTTTAGAAGAAAATCCTGAATTTGTAGTGTGGAACGAGCAATGCGAAGCAACTCTTCGACCATTGCAGAGTAGGTAATACTTGTTGTTGCATGCATAAGGCACACGAACTTTGCGAACGAGGTAGGCCTTCTTAGTCACAAGAAGAGTTGAATTTGTAGAGTTTTGACACCTGAACCTGAAGAGAGTTTACAAAACAGGCCAGGCCTTGTACAGAACAACTTTCTTTCACTTTTTTTTCGCTTCAAATTATCGTTCACTTTTTTTTTCGCTTCAAATTAGCGATATTTTGTGTGTGTGTGTCCTGTGTTAGCGTCATGGCGTCTGTGCGAGTGTGTTTAATTTTTGAAATGGTAGCGTAATCTGAGTGTGTATTAAAAATTACGTGTTTTTTTTTGGTGGGGGGTGGTACAGGATAAATATGATTAATGTCCGAAACGAACGTCTAATACTGGGTTACAAAGTTTGCAAATGTTTAATCTTACATTCTTTAAGTATGACATATATATATATATATATATATATATATATATATATATATATATATGTGTGTGTGTTATTTACTTATTTTAAGCATTTCACAACAAGCAAGGTGGAAGTGCCGCTAGCACGCAAGGGACTACAGAGGGTGGAGAACAAGAGTAAAGAGGCGTGTTCGGGGAGAGGATAAAGAGAAGGGCGTGGAACAAAATCAGTGTATCAGAAGATGTCGATTGACATTACACTTGAATATTTGAAGATTATAGTTATCAGGGAAGCAAGTAAGAGGAAGAGAATTCCACAGACGGGAAGTGCAAGAGAAGAAGCTGTTGGAGTAGAAGAGACGGTTGCATTTAACCGTTTCGACAGTGGAAGGATGGGACTGAGATGCCAACCTAGTAGCACGGTTAAATTCTTGCAGTCTGGGAACCAGCGAATGTAGCTCGTCGGAACAGTTGCCGTGAAAATACTTGTAGAAGAGACAAAGGGTAGCCACGGCAAGTCTGTGAGAAAGTGACTGTAGGCGAGATGCCAGACCAGGACCTATAACATTGCATATTCGTCTCTGGATTTTGTCGAGGACCTCAAGACTTACAGCGGGAGCACTAGACCATATATGACAGCAATATTCCATGCAAGGACGGATGGTTGATTTATAGGTTTGAACAGTGGACTCAGACGAGAAAAACTTTCTAGCACGAAACAGAGAACAAAATTTCCTTACGGTAGATGAAGCCATTGAGTCTACATATTTGTTCCAACCTCATATCAGCGGACAGAGTGAGAGCAAGCAGGAGCAACGAGGCGCTCTCGTGGAGTCGGGCATCAGCCATTCAGAGGGGAAGGAAGGAGGGTTCTCTGTGGTGGGTAAATGAGAGCAGTTTTGTTTTGGAGGCATTGATGTTTACAAGCCATTTCCTGCCACAGTCAACCACAGATAGCATACATTTGTGTATTTATGGGCTAAGCGTACAAACTATTGAAGACCTAGGTGATTGTTGATATAGACAGAGTGAACGTAAAAATCAACATTCAATGGTGACTGTCAGTTACATGTATCAAGCGATATTCAGACATTGGTTTATATGTCCACGATCTATCCACCTGTCTGAGTGTGATGACACACACACACACACACACACACACACACACACACACACACACACACACACACACACACACACACACATATATATGTATATATATATATAATTGAGTCAGTTGCGGATAACCCATAACAATTGTACTCAATGATTTCTGGAGGGTCCGTCTACGAAACTCTGGAGGATGCTGAAGATAACATCACTCACCAAAGTGACAAACTTTTTACTTGTATTAATAATAATAATAATATATAGTATAGTCAGAGATTATATATATATATATATATATATATATATATATATATATATATTTTGTGTATTTTAGGCAGCAAATTCTCTTTTTAGGTATGTCTGATTGAATAAATTACAGACATTATGTCTGCTAATTTTTAACAAAATCCGTTCATACTCACGAATAACATCCCATGTTAAAGGATGAGAGAAATGTGCTATAGCTGTTT